CCCCGGCGGCGGCGGCGGCGGCGGCGGCGGCGGCAAGAAGACCCCAGCGGGTTCAGCGCACCTCGTTATCAAGGGTATGGAGTAGCAGGGCTGTCGTCCCCGGTGAATCCCAGCGCAGCCCCACCTCCCAGGCCGCGCCCTCTGACCCGGGCTGGCGCGCGCGCGCGTTTGTGCGGGATGGGGGAGAGGAGGTCGGTCCCCGCCTATTTCCCGGCGCCCGGATGCTTCCCACTAACAACCCGCTAACCCAACTCCTCTTTCTTCCTCGCTCTCCTTGGCCGCAGCCCGGGGCCGTTAGGCCCGCCTCCTGTCCCCTCCCCAAGCCCAGGATTCCCGGGCACCGAGCTTCTCTGGACAGCCTCTCGACCCACCAGCAACGCAAAGGGCACCGAACTTGGGAGTCGGGAAGGGTTCGCGCCCCCATGCAGTCGTTTAGGAGCTGTGTGACTTCGGGTCACTCTCTTTACCGCCTCTCCGACAGTCTGCACCTGGGTCATGCGAGGAGTGAATGAGATAGCACTTAACGAAAGCACCCTAAAACACTTGAAAGAATCGTACACGTGGGCAGATGTCCATTTGTTCTGTCTGCTTTGAGCCGGGAGAAGGGTACAAACTAGACTAACAGAACCGGCTTTAGGTTTGATTCCCAAAGCTCACAACCACCCTGTTTCCTGCGGGAAGGTCTTGCCAGTTAAGATACTGCACTTTCTCATCGCCGTCCTCCCTTAACCCTGTGGTTACCTGTCAGTCACCTATCTTTCAGTGTGGAAGGCCTTATGCAATTCCAGAGTCTTTCAGCACCATCCAAGGAATGGTACCTTCTTCGGTTGCTGCCTGATTCATTTAACCCGTAGGTTTGTAGGCAGCCCCAGCACAGCTGCCTGTTGCTGTTTTTAGACTTTGTTTCAGATTGTCTCTTAAGTCTAATTAGGAGTGTGGGAGTGTTGCATGGGTATTAAGACTAAATTAGAATAATTTATATGTGCGGTCTTAGTGAAGTACTAGTTTAAATTTTTTTAACTGGGGTAAAATTAACGTAACAAAATTTGTCTTCACTTCTAAAGTGTACAGTTCGTTAGTTTTAAGTACATTCACATTGTTGTGCAACCATCATCACCATCTATGCACACTCTTTTCACCTTGCAAAACTTAAACTTTATATATATTAAGCAATTCTCCATTCCCTCCTCTACCGAGCCCCTGACAATCACCATTCTTTTTTGTGTGTCTATTAATTTGGCTACTCTCGGTACTTCACTTAAGTGGACTCATAGTAGTTGTCCTTTTGTGACTGGTTTTTTAAATTTAGCTTAATATCCTCAGTGCGCATACATGTTGTGGCATGTGTTGGAATATTCTTAAAAAATATTCCTTTGCATGTATGTATCTTTTCAACTGCCATTGAACGTTTGGGTAAATTCTATCTTTTGGCTGTTGTGAATAATGCTTTCAGTTCTTTGGGTGTGTGTGTGTGTACAATGTGTGTGTGTGTGTGTGTGTGTACAATTCCCAAAATGAATTGTTGGATCATGTGGTAATTCCATTTTTAGATTTTTGAGGAATTGCCATACTGTTTTCCATACTGGCTGCACCATTTTACATTCTCACCAACAGTGCAGAAGGGTTCCAATTTCTCCACATCTCACCAGTGCTCGTTTTCTTTCTTTGGCAGTAGCCATCTTATTGAGTGTGAGATGGTGTCTCATTGTGGTTTTGATTTGCATTTCCTTAATAATTAGTGATGTTAAGCATCTTTTCATGTGCTTATTGTCCATTTTATATCTTCTTTAGGGAAATGTCTGTTCAAATCCTCTGCTCATTTTTTAATCCAGTTGTGTTTTTTGTTGCTGTTGAGTTGTAGTTTTTTATGTATTCTGCATCTTCACCCCTTTTCCGAGACATGATTTGCAAATATTTTCTCCCATTCTGGGGGTTGCCTTATCACTCTGTTGATTGTGTCCTTTGATGCACAGAGTTTTGATTTTGATACAGTACTTTTTAAAAAAAGATAATCTAGTGCTGTATTGTATACTTGAAATTTGCTAAGACAATGGATCATAAGTGTTCTCAGCACAAGGGAAAAAATGGTAACTGATGCGACGGATGCGTTAATTAGCTTAATTGTGGTAATCAGGTCACAATGTATATGTATATTAAATCATTGTGTTATATAATTTTAAATTTGAACAATTTTTATTTGTCAATTTATACCCCCAATAAAGCTGGTGCAAGTTGGGGCAGAGGGAAAAATTAAAAAATAGAAGTTAAGAGACAAGAAAAAAAAGATAATTCCAGGGGAGTTTTCAAGTTAATCTGAAATTGGGTCTAGAAGTTGACTCTAACTGAAATAGAGTCTAATTGAAAATATGTCTAGAACTTCCTTGGCTTCTTTTATGGGACCATTCACTCTTCATTCTGAAGACAATGATTTTTAGTCCATCTTATTTTAAGACTGTCAACTATAGACAGATATTTGTTGAATTTTATTGCTGGGCTCTGGTGAAAAGGAAACATTTAATAGATCATTTTAATACTTGTGCCCTGGATCGTTGAGGGTTTCTGCTACATAGGTGGGTGTCAGGAGGAGAGGATGGGAGACAGGGGAGGCTTCCTGGAGGATGGCAAGTCTTGTTTGAGTCTTGAAGAATGAAATGTTAGCAGTTGAGAAAAAAAGGGCAAGGGTATTTTGGACTTAGTTGGAAACAGCATGAGCAAAGGCACAGAGGCCTGAGCCAGCATGACAAGTGAGTTTAGGAAACTACTACAGTGTGACTAAGAGAAGTGAGTCTGTTGGAAAACAGACAATAGAGGACTTGCCTTTTCAAGGAGATTGGACTTATTCTTGAATGGCAGTGTTAAGTACAAGAGCCACGTGGTTGGATTTGTATTTTATTTTACTTTTTTCCTTTTTGTCTTTTATCGTGTCCGGCAACGGATCGCAACCCTCAGTGTCGTGCCCGTACCAGACTGGGACCGGCAACGGGATTGCAACCCTCAGTGTTGCTCCCACACCTCGCTCAGCCAGTGAGCGGGAACCGGTCTGTATGTGGGATCTGAACCCTCGGCGGGAGCACCACCGCACTCCCAAGCGGCGCACTGTAGCAGTGCGCCACCAGGCCGGCCCCTGGATTTGTATTTTAAATAGAGCACTTAGGCAGATAGTCATACTCATGGTTCAGGGACTTGGTATTTGTGAATTCGCTTTCTAGCTAAAATGATTTTGTAACCCCCAAATCAGTATGGGTGGTGCTTTCATGGTCATTTGCATATGTGCAGAGCAAAGCAATGTTGAGATCACCTGACTCCCACATTCCAGCTGGGGTTAAACAAGGTGACACTCTCTTTGTCTCAGCTCTCATATTGTAAACAAGTGTCCTTTTTGATTTCTATTTAGGGCAATGTTTTTGACATTTTTGTTGGTGATTTTTCTGTTTAAAGTGGCCCTCAGGCATATGGTGCTGTACTATGTAGTGTTTCTAAGTGCAGAAGACTTCCAAGTGCCTTATGGAGAAAATACTTGTGTTAGGTAAGCTTTGTGCAAGCTTGAGTTATAGTGCGATTGGCTTTGAGTTCAATATTAGTGAATCAACAGTCCAGAAAAAGAAAGGAAATTCACTGATCTGTATGTAAGGCTAAAGTAACCTGCTAAAGTAACATTTACAGTGTGTGATGAAGCTATGAAAAAGATGGAAAAGTGGCAGTTTGAGGATTCATGATATGACAGCCGATTTTTAAAAAGTGTAGCAGACAGCATTGTTGTGAGGCTTAAAGCCGAAGAAATTTATGATTGTTATTACCCAGGGTCAAGAAAACGTTAAACCCTTCTCAGCCAGTGCTGGCTGGCGTGAAAAAAAATAAAATTTGCAGGCAAGGCAGGTTCTACATATTGGGAGTCTGTGGAAGAATTTTAGAAATACCTGCTTAGTTTTATACAGGAAAAGGGTTATGTGGAAAAGCAGGTTCTCAATACTGATGAGACCGGTGTGTTTTACAAGATGTGACACAAATGGCTTTTCAGTTGGCAAAAACGTGTGTGGCTGGAGGCTTGTAGGAACTTAATACTGTCTTTTACTCTATCTTTACTGTCTTAATACTCTATCTTTTGTGTGAAGCGGTATTTGTCCCAGTTTAGGTTATGAACTTCTGGAGAATAAAAGATTATTTCTTAGTTATCTTGTATGAAGGTACTTTAAAAAGTTTGTGGAAAAAATAGAATTAAAAGATAATTTGACTCTTTCCGAGAACTTCTTGAAGTACCCTTGTATATCAAACAATGAAAGCATGCTTTGCGTGTGTAGTAGGGCTAGAGAAGGACTTATATGAAAATCTGTACCTTACATTTAAGTTAGGGGAATTTACATGTAACCCTGAGACTTCTACAAATTTTGAATTATTATAGTGTACTTATTTTGTTGTTATGGTGTTATAATGAAACTAGTTAGTGGCTTAATTTCTATGGTAATGGGTATTTGATAATCTTTTTTCCTCCATATTTTTACTATCTTAAATTTTGGAGCACAGTTGGTGTTTTAGAAGTGATCATTATCCATTTCTAAACAGAATTGGATTCTCTCTCCAAAGCCTAAGTAAATTCCCATTATATCAGGCCACAGATGCAGATTTCCCCAAATCAGCAAACGTTATCTGCTTCTCAGCCATGTAGAAAAATGCTTGTTACCCCATATATCCTCTGTGTATAATATGAATAATTTGGTCTCTGAGATACTCACTGGAGGAGAAAGGTAATTTCAGGACAATGTGGTAAGCAGTATGATAAAAGTATATGCCTGGGTACTCCATGAAAGCTGGGAGGAAGGTGGATGGAATGAATGTTAATTTCAAGGAACAGTGAGTCTGAGTGGTTTTGAAGGAATAGTAGGGATTAGGTAAAGTGGAGTAGTTGGGGACGCAGCTACAGTAGTGGCAACAGTATGACCGAACCATGGCAAGGATGCACAGGGTAGCATGGTGTGTTTGGAAAACTGCAGGTTGTTCATAATTGCTGATGTGGGGAGATGAGGCTTGAATCAGATCACAGAGGACCTTAGGTGGGCTTCCAGGAAGCTTGGACTTTGTCCTCTTGGCCAGTTGTTGTGCTTCAGAGACATTTGTGTTCATTGAGATGTGAATAGGTATTCTTTGCAAAGTTGGTTCTCTGATCAAATAAGGCCCTTAAACTCCTGCATACTCTACCCTTCACTTGAGCATTCATAACCCATATTTGCATACTACAGGCTCCCAGAAGATGTGAGCTGAAGAAACCTAACTTGATTTTATCTAATGTCTCCCAAACTTAACTAAGCATAGAACTTTCAGGGCCGGCCTGGTGGCACACTGGAGAGTGCGCCGCTTGGGAGCGCGGCGGCGCTCCCGCCAAGGGTTCGGATCCCATGTGGTGACCGGTTCCCGCTCACTGGCTGAGCGCCGCGTGGGCGCAACACCGAGGGTTGTGATCCCGTTGCCGGTCCCCGGTACGGGCGCGACACCTAGGGTTGCAATCCCGTTACCGGTCAGTAAAAAAGACAAAAAGGAAAAAAAAAAAAAGAACTTTCTTTTTTTTGGTGAACTCCTATTATCTTCTTATAGAAATGTCTGGGTAATGAATTGGTGAAGAATTTAAGCAAGAATATTAGGGTACTTCAGAAAGTTTGTGGAAAAATGGAATTAAAAGATAATACAAATCTTTCCATGAACTTTTTGAAATATGCTCATAATGCTTTTATTTATATTTTTTCTACTTAGCATACTTCACAAGACGTAACCTAATAAATTCACTAGAGAATTGAAATTGCCCCATAGCATGTCTGCAAAAATCAAAATTTGAGAACAGAGTACAAAGGAATGAACATGAATGATACATATTCTTATTTGATTTGATTATTAGATTTGATTTCTCCAAGAATTTTAAGGTTTACGTCTTAAACTACGTAATTGTTACTGAGAAGAATGAATAGACTGACTCACCAAAAACAATTAAAATTAGGAAGTTTTTTAATTATAACTTTTTCAAACCTATCAAAAAGTAAAGAGACTTATAATGAACATTCACCACCCATCTTAATAAATAAATCATGACAAGCCCCACTGTGTACCATGCTGTAATTGCATTCGCTGCCTCCCCCAACCCTAACGGTAACCCCTACTGTATCCTGAATTTGGTGTTTATCATTCTCATGCATTTCCTTACAGTTTTATTGCTTCTCTATGTGTCCCAAAAGGAAGCATCATTTTGCGTATTTTTAAGGTTTATGTAAATGGCATTAATCCTTCTGAAATTTGCCTTTTCAACATTATATTTGTAGGATTTATCTATGTTGGCATGCGTAACTCTGGTGTATTCATTTTTACTCACTGGTTTATAGTATTCCACTCTATGAGTATGTTTAGAGTGTTTCCTTTTGACATTATATGCATGCTGTAGGAAGCATTTAAAAATGCCTTATTCATTTATGTAAGAGGTTTTTTTAGATTACATACCTAGGCATGAAATTGCTAGGAATACATGTCTTCAACTTTAATATTGCCCAGTTGCTCTCAAAAGAAGTTATACCAATTTAACACACTAGCATGGATGAGATTTCCTTTTAATCCTTAATCTAAACTGGATTTTAACCTTCATCTATTCATGGGGAAAGGGAAGAGTTATGCCACTTAGTATGGATTAACCCTGGATTTCATTTTATCTTTATAGATCTTGGAGAAATTCATTCAAGGCTTTTGGATCACAGACCATTTATTCAAGGTGAAACTCGTTATTTTGTAAAAGAGTTTGAAGTGAGTATTTAAAATTTATTTTATAAAAATACTGCTGTAATTGTTAGTGTGTAAGATATAGAAGGGAAATTCCCTAGTTTTAAAGTCTGATTTGAGTTCATGGGTTCAAAAAATGTATAAAGTTGTGAAGAGGTAAAAATGCTTGTTTTTTAATGGTGCCTACTCTGGGGTATATAATGTCTGTCGATATCAGTATTTTTATCTATAAAATGAGATATAGTGAAAAAGAGATTTTAGAGATTGATGGGCCTGAGTTTTCCAGACCTATATTCTATGTTTTTTTCTCAGTTGGGGCATCAGTACCCACTCAAGCACTCAAGTTCAAACTTAAGAAGCATCCTTGGCTGTTCCCGCCTCTTTAGGGCTCACATTTAGTGACCAGCTCTTCTAGATGTTATGTTATAAATTTCCATTCCTTCTCAGTGGTGTGCCTGCTTTATCAACCAAGTCAAATCCAGTTTTCACCCTGCTGCCAGAGTGATCTAACATTCTTTCACTTCCTAAAACCCTCTGATAATATTTGTCATGTACAGGATAAAGTCTAGGCATTTCTCTGTGACCTGGCCCCTGCCTTTCTAGCTCCACCACCCACCACTTCATTTTGCATGCTATGTTCCAGCCTTAGTGATGCACCAACATGCCATCCTGTTTCATATTACTGCAGTTTCATATTACTATAGTTTTTCACATGCATAGTTGGTTCACTGTGTATTAAACAGTAACTTCCCAAGATACTGTTGTGTAGATGGTAAATGGTGTTACACAAACAATTTTGTGATTCTGTATAAGTTAGAGTTCTATTTTTAAATGAGACTCTGACCAAGCAGGGTGTCAAACCTGCCAGAAGGAGAGAACCTTTTAATAAACCCTTAAAACTACAGAAAGCTGGTAATACAGAGCACTCAAGGTAGAGGGACAGATCTGTAGCATTAGACAACCATTTCTGGTTTCAGCAGACTCTCTGACACAAAACCTGCATAATAGTGACTTCCCAGGGCTGTTGTGAAGATTAAAGACCTGTATGCAAGTGTGTGTCTTAGAATATTGTCTGGTACGTAGGAACAACTGTTAGCTATTGTCATCATCATCATCATTATTTCTAGTGTATAAGAATAATGTAGGACACAGAAAATTATCCATTTCCCTTATGCTATGCAAAAATTGTTACCAGTTCCTGAGAGAATAAAGCAGAAATTTCTATACAAACTTGCTATGAGTCCTTTATAGTGTATTGTATAAATACTTTTAAAATTTGTATTGAATGTTCCATATATAGAGTGTGGATATAATTATCCTTAAATGTAGGAATTATATTTGATTCTTCTTTTTCCTTCACTTCAACAACCAGACTATCAGCAAGCCTCAAAAACGTATCTTAAATCTTTGTACTTATCCCTTTTGCCACTACCCCCACCCTAATCTAGCCCACGTGGACACCTGCAGTAGGCTCCTACCTGATCTCCCTGCTTTCAGTCTTATCTCTGAAATAATTTTTCCCATACAGTAGCCAAATGATCTATAAACCTGAATATACCACACCTTTGCTTAACCCTCTCTCCATGGCTTCTCTTCATGTTTGCAGTACAGGTCAGTACCTTAGCTATGCTTAAAAGTCCTGGATGATCTCTGACTCCTACTTGTCTTCCAGATTTTATTGCACTCAATTCTTCACATACTGCACTTCAGCCACATTTTCTTTCTTTTCTTCAGTACATTTACAATCCAGTAATCATGGTTATTCCTGTAGCAGCAATTCCATCTGCCTAAAAGCCTCCTTCACCCCATTTTTTGTATGGCCCTCTTTTTTGTTTAGATTACAGGTTAAGTATTACCTGTATTCTTTAATCCAAAGCAGTCACCAAGGTACTCTATCATGTCTCCCTAATTTACTTCTTTATATAGCACTATATTTGTTTTCTAATGCTATTTAACAAATTACCACAGCTTAAAACAACACCCGTTTGTTAGCTCAGATTTCTCTGGGTCAGAACTCTGGGCACAGCATGGCTGCGATCTCAGCTCTGGGTTTCATAAGGCTAAAAGCAAGGTGTTGAGCAGGCTACATTCTCATTTGGGGCTTGGGGTTCTCTTCCTAACTCATGTGCTTGTGGCAAAACTCAGTTCTCTGCAGTGGGAGCCACTCTCGTCTCCTAGAGTTCACTCACATTACTTGCCACATGGCCCTTCCGTCTTCAAAGCCAGAAATGGAGAGTCTTCTTCACGTGGAATTCTGCTTGTGCTTCAGCTCTCTCTTGCCCAGAAGAGACCTTGCCCTTGTTAGAGACTCACCTGATAAGTCAGACCCAGCAAGGATTATCTCTCTTTCTTAAAGTTACCTGATTTGGGACCTTTAATTACATCTGCAGAATCCCTTCACAGCAGCATCTAGATTAGCACTTGATTGAATTAACTGGGAGAAGGTATGTGTGTGCACTGGGAGTGGGGCTCATGGGGCCATTTAAAATTCTGTCCACTGCAAGCACTTACAACTACCTATTGTTTTTCTTGTTATTTACTAGTTTATTGCCTCTCTTCCTTCATTAGAATTCAGGTACCATGAGAGTAGGGACACATTTCTTACTCTCTATTGTATTTAAAGTGCCTGAAACAGTGTCTGATACATTATAGGTGTTTAGTATGATTCAGAAGAACAAGTAGCAGAGCTTGTATTAAAACTTGGGTTTTTTTGACATGCAGTGCCCTTTATGTAAGTCATGTTTTTTTGTGAGTCTGCTTAACTTAAATACTGAATGGTTTTTATTAAAGTTTATAAATGAACCTCAAAATCTATGTTAAAAGAAACATAGAGTTTTAGAATTAGGATGGATTCTCTAATCCATCCACCTCATTTCATAGAAACTGAGCCCAGAGATGGAAAGCAATAAGTGAAAAGTCATACAGCTAATTAATGGCTGAGTTATCCCTGGAATACGAGTGTCATTTTTATATTGGTATCTTTTAAATAATGTAGATGGTTTCCATGGAAGGGCTATACAAGTAAAAATGGGTCTTGAATGGAAGATGAAGGAAGAATTACTTGTATGCTTTTTGAATGTTACGATCGCTTCCTGTTTAAGCCAACACTTCTTTTAACTCTACAGAGTTTTGAGTTTTTATGAGGATTAAATGATATATCATTTTTAAATCCCTGGTATATTGGTGTTAGACACATGTTGATTATTGTCATTGATAAGAGAAAGGTGGTAGCAAGTATAACCAAATAAAAATGTATTAATTCAGAATTTACAATAACTTGAATGTTTGGGTTTAATTTTTAATATCTTTAGGGAAAAGAGGGATTAGCTAAGCAAATGGCATAAGCATTATCTTAGGAAAATATTTACTAAAGAATAAAATTTTCACACTAGGGATGGATAGATACAAGCTTATTATATAGTCAAACAAACTGTTAGGAGCACTTATTTTATGTGAGGCATAATGTGAGGACCTAGTAATATATTGGAGAATAAGAGAGACACAGACCCACCTGTCATGAAGCACGGCGTTCTCATATTGCCTTGAAAAATGTTCTCTGAAGGACTCAAACATATTTTGTCAGCTGAATTTGAGTTGGTTTTGTTGAAAAGTATTTGATCTAGTTTTTCACACAATGACCTTCCGACTTGGTCTTCCCAGGGGCTCAGTGTAGCACAGAAACTCTCCTAAACGTCAGACTCAGCTGCCTTTTCTCTATATTATGCTAATATTTCCTCTCAAATTAGAAGGAAAAACCTGAAAGTATTTTAGAGACTTTAGATTTGAATATATTTCTGCATTATTTACAATTCTTTTCTGTCTTGGCCCAAACAATAATATCCTGTATTTAATAAAAGTGGCCTTTGCCCAGAGTGTCATCGTTGGTCAGGGAGAAGTGGTGAAGCCAAGCCATCTGTACCCCCTGAAGTTTCATCTTTTCTATACTATTTAAATGTAGTTTACTTTAAGAAAACTGGCTAGCATTTAAAACTAAAGTTGTTTATATATTTAAAAGATTTTAGGTTTATGGCAACAATTATCTATTTTTATATATAAAATTTTATTTGTAAAAGAAGAGAGTGCCCACATGGTGGCAGCATTACTTAAATTATTAAGTACTGTTAGAATATTTTAAGCTTTCTTTTTTATTTTCTTACCATTTAAGTACTTTCTCCCACTTTATGCAAATTTTTTCCCCTTGATTCCAATGAACATTATGAACGGAGAGAGATTCAGAAGAGTCTGACTTCTCAGGTAGAGTACTTCCAGTGAGTATCAGGGTAGTAGTATCAGTGGGTAAAGTCATTGTCCTCTGTGCCATTATCTTACTAGCCATGATCTTTCTCATGTGGAGCAGAGAAGAGACTAATGTTAGTCAACAAGTTTATAGAGTGTACAGTCTTGTGCAAGTTGCTTATTTAGTTCTTAGCAAATTTCATTCATTTAATGCTTTATTGAATAATTGTTGAATACCTAGGTATATCAGAAAGGAACGTGTTTACTTATTTTTCTTTCACAATATCCAGAGTCCAGATTTAGATAGCCTAGAGCTGGTATAGTATCCCAACAGTGTCAGCTTTTCTTCCAACTTTACCTTCTATCTTTCTGGGGTGTTTCCTTTATCCTGTGCTTACAAGGTACCTTTTGGAGCTCCAGCCATTACATCTGTATTTCATGTAGCAAAAAGGAGGGCAGGTGGGCAGCAGCTAGCAATCTCTTACAGGTGCATTGCCACTCCAAGTAAAATCTGAGTGTTGATAGCAAGAAAGAAGAGAATGGATGCAAAAATATTTGTCACACCAGATGTATAAAAATAAATAAGAAACAACCCCTACCTCCAGAAAGTTTACAGTCTAGGGAGAAGGACATATAAAAAAAGTATGGTAACGGCATGATTATAGTGATAAAATAAGCACAAAGTACTTGAGAGCTCAGAGGAGGAAACAACTCCAGAAACAACCCCCAGCAGGAGTCTGAAGAAAATTGTCATAAAAGTGGTGATGGTTGAGCTGAGAAAGAAAAAT